TATATATATATATATATATATATATATATATATATATAATTTAGTGTTAAAGTCAATGATATTATATCATTTATTAAAAGATATTATAAAATTAATAGCCTTAAATGAAAGAAATTCAATAGACATTTCAACAGATTTTTTAAATAAGTATTTTAGATTTTGCAAATAATAGTTGATGATAATCATCTTCAATACTTATTATGACATCAAATCCAAATACAAATAACAATATAATAATAATATTTATCTTTAATTTTGAAATCAATAAAAATATATTCATATACTTGTTTATAGAAATAATTCAATTTTTTAATATTTTCCTCAACTCCATATTAAATAATATTTTCAAAAGACAAACCCTTCATCCTCGCAAAATTTCTTCACGTAGCATCCGTTAATACAAACAGGATCTTCAAATAATATTTTCTTGTGGAAACATTTAATTTCTCCAATGTGTATTTTAACTTGTTTTAAATTTTCCAGTTTTGCAATGGACGATCACAGGGCATCCGGATTTTCCAAGGAATCCTGTAAATGCTCAAGGACACCCTGGTGGCGCGGAACAACCTCTCTCGTCGTGGCTGGATCGAAGTTACGATGGAGTTCGCGGCGTTTTACGTGGATTTTATATGGGAAACTGATTCGACCACGAACCAGAGGATAATATAACACCGGGGGCATTTTGTTTTGTTGCGCAAGAGGATAATAAACATCGTTCGGGACCGCTACCGTGCCGACTAGATAGCTACGACGATGAAACAATGCGGCATTGTCCCGAGTAGACCTGAACCGCCAAAGCACAGCCGAACCCAAGCACCGTGTTAAGTCATGAACGGCGTTGCACACGGCCTTAGAAAACGTTCAACCAGAGCCTTCGATAGAACCTGACCCCGGCCAACCATGCTCTCCAAGGGAAAAATCACGGCAACGGCCTCCGTTTCTTCGCCGGAAACGGAAGATCGACTTTATGCTCGCGCCTGACGTTCTGAAACACTTTGAGAGAAGGAAGATATTAGAACTGGTGATAGTGATTTCTTTTCAATATACTTTTAGTGGAGTATGACTTTGTTTTTTTTTTTTTTTTTTTTTAACAAAATGAATTTTCTTTAGAACGAAGATTGATGAATTTGATGTTATCAAATATAGAAATTAAAGAGTAACTATTATAAATAGATGTTACAAGTGAAACGATTCAGACATTTCTTTAAGAAATATTTATAAAAATATAATGTTGATATAAAAATATAATGATGAATATAGATATTGCAAATAATTAAATAATTCTTTGTAAAAGTTATCCAAAAGAGATTGTTTAGAATATATAGGATGATTTAAAATTATTTTCTGAAGTATTATTTTTATATGATTGAACAAACCTAAAATTCGATTGAAATAATTTAGAAAAAGATAGATTGAAATTGTTTTTATAAAGAACATTAATAATTTAGATGCAAATTTTTATATACCATTATATGATATGTCCACTATATTCTGATATACTCATTCAAAAGTATATCATACATTTATCAAATTATATTCATATATTTATTTTATAAAAGTATATAGAATATAATTGAATAAAGGCATTTGATTTTATCAATTATTCTAAATATTGTAATCAAAAACCATTTTTTAAAAATGAATACAAATTATATCTTTGTAAAAAAAATACATATATATATTCCAACTTTCCTATGTATCTTAAATCTTAAATCTCTAACTGTTTATCGATTCATCAACAATTTACCACAAAAACAATGTTTCTGGATATCCTTTACAACATAACAGTAACTCCTTCTACCACTTTGGCATAATTTTCGTGATAAACTTTCAAAATTTGAACAAGAGAGATATATTTTACCATGTTATTCATTCCGTAGTACTCTATTTTCCAAGATAGCAAGAGTGTTCTGTGCGAGCACTGTTTTACAAATAATTCGAAACGGGCTTGCTCGAAGGACGATTCCTTCGGAAAGAAGATTTTTCCGGTAGAGCAGGCGGCTCTCCTCGATTGTTCACGTTGTTCACGGTGCAATGAAAGCTTGAAGGTACGAACAAAAAGCCGTGAGGTAGACATAAATAAATAGGTGGTGGGTGTGGTTGGTAGGCCGCACACATGGCGTCGTGACCCGTCTCTTCTCTTCGTGAGCTCAGGGCTCGCTTAAGTTATGCCCTGCGGAATGCTGCTGCTCCCGCTTCTTTCGATGTCGTGGCTAAACGCAGTTTCATCGTATCCTCGGCTTAGTTTCGCCTCTTTTTTGCTTCTTGATCTCGATTCGCTTGTATCTAATGTTTATTTAGTTGGGTATTAACCTTTCAACTGGCCGAGTTCAATTAGTCGATTAAATGGAAAATGGATCTTCTTCTTTTGAAGTGAATTGTCTATTTAGTTGAATATTCAGAAATTGCGTATATTTTTCATTAAAAATATTTATACTTTTTTATGTTGATTTTAGTCCTTTTGATATTTTATAATATAATATAATACGAAATAAATTCTGTGAAAAAGAAACATAATTTTGAATGCATATACAAATCAATATTAATCAAAAGATCATTACATTATTCATTATTTTTTTGTATTTTTAGGTTATTACTCGATTCAAAAATTTCTAAGTTTTATATTATATACAATTAATTTTTCATTAAGAAAATTAAAAATATTAACATTGAAAAAGTAAATGATTATGAAGTCTCTTACACATTTTCAAAAGAAAATGTTAGCAATTAATATTCCTTTTTTTTTCAATTAATCGCTACTTTGATCATTTTTGTAATGGAAACATCTTTCGGCAGAAATGGAATCTTAAAAATGCATCGCACGCGCTGCGTCCGTCGAAATCGTGAGGACGATTCAACCAGATAAAACCTTCCTTCCATAAAGAGAAATGCGGAAATCGTAAAGACACAAATATATCTCTTGATAATATGATGATCCAGAATATCCGTTTATCTTTATTTTCGTGAGAACTTTTTCCGCAGAATGATTTTAATTAAAAGTAATATTCCAAATACATTAAATATGTTTCCAAATTATCATCATTCGTACCATAACCTATCACCAAATAATCGAATGATCCAATAGAAAATTGGATTATTACTTAACATTAATCTAGAGAAAATAGTAAGATTTTCCTCACCTTTAAACAGCCGTTTCTTTTAACTAATATTCGATGAAGCAACGGTACAACAATCAGCCGTTATATTATAAATTAGAGTCGAATGGAAGATTCGCTTCACAAACTGTATGAATAATTTATACGTCGACACGAGCGCCAATATATATTCGCGGACAAGCATGTGATTTACCCCGTGAAGATTCAATGGCATATCGAGTATCGTTGAAAATATCGATTACTCGAAGATTCTCGAGAAAACTTTTCGACTCGTTAACTATCAATATCTCGTTATTCACACTCGTTTTATATTGCAATCATACATTAATCGATAAAATTAAGATGGTAGATATTCTAAAAACAAATTCATTAGAAATCTGACATAGAAATTGGCACAAAACGTAATTCGATTAGAGTAGTAGGTACGAATTTCAAAGATGGCCAAAGGCGGTAGAGGATGTCGCAATTGATCTTAGTTATTAGTCGATAATCCAACATGAACAGGGTGGAGGAAAACGCGGTTGACCCGACAATATATACCTACAGTGTTTAATTATCGCCCACCCTAGAATTTGCTCGGCCGTTTACCGTTAGAGGCGGTGCTCGATGTATACACAAATATAGCACGGTTCGTGATTCGCGGCAAACCGTTAATAACGCGCAAAGTGTCTAAAAGCTGCAACATTCGCAAAGTTGTGGCATCGTCGGACCATAAAATCAAGAGCATTCAATGCGCAGAAGAGAATTTTATACATTTGTAATAATACTAAAGATGAACTTGTTCTCGAAATTACATCGAAACTCAAAATAGAAATTAATCATTTCATCCCTCTATTATTGTGTTTAAGATTTTTATGTAATTTACAAATAAATGAAGAAAAAAATGAAGAAAAGGATCCATTTTCAAACTATTAAACTTTTGTTCTAAAATGAAATCATAGAAACGAAAATTTATCAAGAGATATTTTCTTTTTTTACTAATGTATAATTTTTCATAAAAGATATCTAATTACTTAAATACTTTTATGATCAATTATTATCAAGATTATTAATAATATAAATTTAAATTTTAAATCGAAAAGTTTAAAAAGAATATAACAAGAAATAATGATAATTCGACTTAAAAGATAAAAAGTTAACAAATTATTTTGTAGCACAATAGCATGATAAATACGACAATGTTGAAAAACAAATTGACGATCACAATGGAAAAATTCGTGCGATTTAACGAGTGCACCGGCTCCACGGCGAAAAAAACCCCAACCCCCGACACAATCTCCGTCAATTTATCTACCGCGGTGCATTTAATTCCCCAATTACGGGAAAATTTCATTGCACATGATAATTGCGATCCCGCTTCCTAATTAAACCCCATTAATCTCTTATTACGAAGTTGCCGTTGATTCATCCCCGTTTTATATCGCATAATAGAAGAAGAGGAAACGTAATGAGAGAACGAGGAACGGAGAAAAGAAAGAGGAGCGGGGGAAAAAAAAGAGGCACAAATTAATAAAAGAATCACGTCTTTATCTGGTTCTCTCAAGCTGGTCGACAGCCAAGAGCCGACTGTATTCGTTTTAAAATCTCCAAACCGGAACAATGGCCTGGCTGGATGGATAATAAAAAAAACAACAGAGGGATAGGAGGATGGACAGAAAGAAGATGGCGGAGAAAAGAAAAAGAAAAGGTTGAAACTACCTATGGTAACGCGACAGTGTTACGATAGTACAACGAAGGCACACGACCATACTTGGTCAATTTTCTCCTTTTTCTTTTTTCTTTATTCCCTCTCTTCCCTTTTTTCCCTTTTCTTTTCCCCTTCTTACTATCCAGCCTCGATTAACTCGCGCGAACGGGTAGTCGTGTCCTTATATCGCGGCTCGATCGCCGCGGAGGAGGCGGCAGCGCTTTTTAAATAACTATAATGAGGGCAATTATCGTGTGCGCCGACAAGCAGAGTGTGACGAGTCGTTGTTACACATTACAGCATGAAGAATCGCTCGAGCTAGATGAAGGAATGGAAGACTAAAAGGTGACAGAGGATTGTAACACAGTACCATTAAAGTGAAAGATTTAGAGAAAAGAGAAAAAGAAAAGCTCTGAGAAATCTGAGAGATTAGAAACAGCGAGAACTAGAATATCTTTTAGTAAAACAGAAAGTAATTACAGAATCGATTATTGAATAATATGGATAAAGATGATGCAAGAACAGGAGTGTCGAAAAAAGAAAAACATTAAGTAAAATGGCGTTGCCAAGTAGTATAACAGACGGACAACAGAAAGAAAATGGAAGGCTAACATTCTATCAACGACGAAAAAGAGTAAAAAAAAAAAAAAAAGAAAAGAAAAGAATTAGAAAGAGTAGAATAGATGGTTGAATCGAAGAGGGAAGAGGAAGTGACAGTGGAGGAGAAGCGAAGAGGCGCATCAGAAGAGAGAGGAGAGACAGGCAGCGCGTGGCAGCAGGCCTCTCCTCCTCCTCCAGTAACTAATGCCCCGATACGTGCAACCACCTCCGCCAGTCGAGGCCTTAACTACTTTCTTATTCGCTCGTTTCAGGCCAGCCTTACGGGCCCATGCATAATGCCACACAGCGCTCCTTACGCATGCTGAACGCTGAACACGCTCCTTCCACCGCTTCTCCTCTCGCGCCATCTTCCTCCACCTCCGCCTCCTCGTGCTGTTCGTCCACCTCCGCCTCCCCGGAACATTGTACCCCGAGAGGAACTGCGGGTCAGAGACTGCGAGGCATATTCGACGCAGACTCGTGGCTCGTGCCTAGATCCATTGGCGTCTGACTCCGATGAATTCTGCTGGTTGAAATATTCTGTCGTTGTAGGACAGTGTACCTATAAAGAATCGTTTATTAATATCGTATTATAATATCCATTTTTATCTATTTTTATTTAATCTCTTATATTTAAAGAAGTAGATTTTTATTTGGAAAATAGAATTCTCTTTTGGAAATTGGAGAATATATCTATTTATTATGATTATTGCTCTCTTATTTATATTATATTATATTCAATCTTTTTAAAACTACTGCATATTATATAAACTTGTAATAATAGCATTACTATTACTATCGAATCAACATACAAAATTAAAATTTTCATAGAAAATTTTCAATCTTTCCCTCCAATCATTTTCAAAATCAAGATTTCTTATGTTCCAATAGAGAACTGGAAAGAAACATAAGAATGAAGAAGGTTCGCATAGAAGGCAATTCTCCGGCTTTAGTCGGGCGACGCCGATGCGCTAATATAACAAGAAACGTGGCGGCTGTTGCGCCGAGCGTACGGGAGCGAAGTAGCCTCGCTTATGGTCCGGTGGTGCCCGAGGAGCATAACAGCTCGCAGAGCATAACGCCACGAGCCATCATATCCTCCTTCCAGAAACCCTCTCCGAAGGTGTTCCACCTTCGCCTCCTCGCCTACCCCTCACCCACGTTCAAATCGGCGCTCCCCCCCGACGCCGCGAGAGAGCACGAGTCATCCTGGTGAGTGTACGCGTCACGCGTGTCTGTCGCTGCGTGGGGATAGACGCTCTAGGAAGTGGATGAGACGCATGCAAGTCTGGCCACCTGGGACGAGGCTCTGATCAAACGAGACAGGTGATTTTTGGAACAGATTTCTCTGAGATTTGACACCTTTTCGAATCGTCATTTGTAGATGATTAAAAAGAAGAAATGAATATTTCTTTCTTAATTAAGTTGATTTCTTTCTTTTAGATGAAAATTGATTAACTTTTATGAAAGCTCTTCTAGACCAATAAGGAACAGGTAATTTTTGGAGCAGATTTTTCCAAGCTTTCGCAGATTTTTAAAAACTCTGAAATTTATTTAAAAAATAAGAAATTAATAAAAGAGCCAAGTTTTTTAATAGAATTGATTTTTTAAAATAACAAAAGTTAGAAAAGAAAGATTTCAATTCATATGAAATTATTTCTATCTCAATCTCAAAATGATTGCAAACTTCACGGTTCCAATCTAAAAATAATTAACTCGAACAATCTATCGTTGGAAAAACGAATTCTCTACAGAAAAAATCGAAACATCAAATTTCTCGTTCGCGAAATAAATTCGAACGAGGAAAGCGACATATCCCCGAACTGCACGCGAATCGAAGGAAACAGGAAGAAGAGGAGAGAAAGAAGTACATGCGCACACGTATGCGATGCTTATGGTCGCGTGGTTGCATGTATACAGGGGGAATGTTCGAGCGCGTGCACGTACATACATTACGTTTATACACAGGTATTGCCGGCTTCCGCGAACTAGATCGGTTGAGCAGATATTAGAAGCGCGTCTGCCCCGTTGCCATTGCGGCAAGTGCTGGTCATTGTCCACCCGGCGGGCACAGGAAGTCGACGCCGACCAGCGATGGTGCAGAGAGAAGAGGAAGAGATTTTTCGGTAGGATAATCGCGGAGAAACTACGACAAGGTGCAAGATTATTGCTCTGCTTTTACGAAAATACCAAGCGTCGAATAATCAGAGTGTGTTTTTTTTCAGTTTCAAGATTCTTGGGGATTGGAACGTTAATGTGCAAAGTTTTATGGTTATTCCGAGAGGCAGTTCGAGGGAAAGACTGAGGTAGACAAAGTTTCTCGGAGAATTAGTGTAGGTTAATTCTAGACTGTTGGGATAAGTTTGGATTAAGCAGAAAAATAAGTGGAATGACTACTTTAAATATATTTAACATAGATTATAATATTGATGATTGATATATATATATATATAATTTCTGAATGAAAATTACTTTAAAGAAATATAATAAAAAAAAATTACATACCAACATAATTATAATTTTATATTATCCAAAAAAAGGTGAACTCTTCATTCATTCTTTTAAACAGGAATCATATAAAATCCATAATTTAAAAATTCGATATCTCTATCACAAATAATGACAATCATCAGGAGAAAGCTGTCATTCCTTCGACTAATTTTCCATTTTCCTTTCTCTATAACAGAGTTTACGGTATAGTTGCGACAAATAATCATTGTCCATCGCAGGCAGGAAGCTGGCGAGAAGTTGGTTGGCCAGCAAGAGATTTTCGGTACGATAATCGTAGGGAAACTCCGGACGTTCATTGTGACAATGGCCTCCCGAGGCATCGTGATAATTACGACGGTAATAACCTAGCAAATAGAAAGAAACACTCATTATATTCTTTTTGACACGAACTGACTATTACTGACCGGTGAAATTCATTTTTTTCCTACTTCTCTTCATCTTTTTCAATTCAAAAAATCTAAAAATCAGATAATAAAATATTAATTTAACTCAAAAAAGAATATATGTATATATATATATATATTTTCTTGGAAAATTTTAAACAATCAAATAGTACAATTTACCTAACAATTAAGTGAACTTCGAATTGATTATTCCGTTTCTTCTTTTCTTCAAATCTCATGATCTTGATTTAAAAAAGAATAATTTTCCGTTTTCTGCATGCGTTCTATTTTCTTTTTTCTTTTTTTGTCGAGTAGGATGTTGAAGGAAGAAATCAAGGAGGGTAAAAGTAAGTGAATGAGTGGATTCAAGTGGAAGTTGGTAGGAGAAGGATCGTCAGGGCGGCACCTGACCGGAAAGCGTCACAGTCACCGCATTCAGCCTCGTTCTTTCTTTTCCCTTCCCCTCCTAGCTTCACCTCTTTCTTCTTTCTTCCTTCGCCACCTCCTTCGATAAAGGGTTGCTACTCGTCCCTTCTACCTTGACAACCTACAAGCCAGAGAAGTCTCGTCCTTGGTGACATTATGAATGAATGAATGAACAAACTGAAAAAGAAAAATTGTCTTCTCAATATTTTTAAAAATTTTCAATCAATTATTCTGCAACATATTTTCTTGCCACAATTTCTACATTTTCTTCTACAAATTATTTTAAAAATTTAATCGATTATTTTGCAAAAACTTCGTTCCCAAATTTTCTTTCCATATTTCATTTTTAAAATTTCAAAATCTTTTTCTAATCTACGAGTACAGAAATTTATACAATAAATTTCGTATCGTAATATCCACTAGTAATTCAGATAATCCGATGAAAAATAATGATTTATGGTAATAGTTATAGCTAATTTATCACTATTTTTCATCGAAGCGGCTCCTGCAAGAAAGAAGCGAGCGAATTTCATCAATATGCGCATAAACTCGAGCAACGAGGGAACATCAATCTATAAAAGCGTATGACGGTAGCAGAAGATGGCACGACGAAGGGAGGAGACGAGGAAGACGATAGTCGTAGTCCACGAGGAAGGCGTGGAGGAGGGGACGAGTAGGTAAGGACATATAATAGCAGGATGTTACAACGCCCGTGTCCGGTACATAAGTATCTGGTTTCATAAATGAAAGTGTCTTCATTCATAGATACATATTTCCATACAATTGCCGCTATTGGTTCGTATCTTATGATATCGCCATTATGTGTGGGCCGGTGCATTACATATGTACATAACACCATTATATACAAATTCCTAGTAATGCGCTGCTACTGCTGCATTAATGATAAAGTTGTTTAGATATCGTGATATTGCGTGCAAGTTTGCGAGAAAAAAATAAAAATAAAAAAAGATGTAGAACATCATCGAAAGTGTCCATACGTCTTAGGTATTTGATCAAACACATATGATGTGGCAAAGTATTCAGACTCTTGTTTCAATTCAGAAAATTAGTTAAGATAAAAAAACATTATACAAGAGTTTCATTAAAATTTGATCAATAGAAAATTAGGACTTTCTTATGATTAAAAAGATTAAATAAAATTTCAGAAAAATATTGATCAATGAAACTTTCTTAAAAATCCAATATTTTATATTTAGGAAAATATTAAATATATAACATATATAATGTAAAAATTATATCGAATAATATCCAAAAATTAAAAAAAAACTAATAATTTTGAATAACATTTTTTTTCAGTTCAAAGTT